TGACCTGGTCCTGGACCGCCGTTCGGAAGCCGCGTCTGTTGGCGATGGATCTGTTGCTGCCGTTGTTGTGGTGGTGTTTCACGAGCTGATCCTGTACTAGACGTGTCAGACTGAGCTGTCTGTTGCTGCTGAGGTGTTGTTCGCACTCTTTCTCGCTCCGGTGTACTCTGTAAATCACCCTCGTTCACGAGACTGTCCTCATCGGAACTAGATGCTGAAAAACAATTGTACAATTATTTAAACCACAATGCACTGTAATCCTGTTATCTACACACAATGTCAGCGTAGAAACATATGAACAAATGCGGTAATTTGACTTAAAATAATACAGATGGAAATTCATAAAGTATTTTCTTTAAGACTCTTCTACTGTCCACAGATAACGAGAAAAACTCTGCTGTGGGAAGTCGTTTCTGGTCGGTGCGGGGGGAATGTTTACTGCCTGGTGGACTAGAGGGCTGCTATTGGTGGGAAGTGTGACACGTCAGAGTTTTACGCTACTACACAGACTGAAAACATCACGCAGTTATGAGTAGCGTGTAGTGAGCGCAACTCTAATGTGTTCTGCGGATGTTGCGATAATATTCTAGATTAAATCGCTGTGCCGCTGTGAGGTAATCTTAAAGCTGTACACATTAGAACACGTGAAAGATTGTAGTCTGTTGTTCGTTCAGTGGTTGTTGAACGAACGCTTTTAGGATGGGTAGTCACTCACCGCGAAATTTTGCGCATGCGCGTATATCGAATTCCTAGCAGGGCTTTTCTCCTGGTCTGTGGACAGTACCATGTACCTGCTTCCTATAATACGGAAATTAAATGGCACCAGAGTACTAAATATTATGAGTCAGAGAACAAGGCTCATCGCTCCATCCAGGCCATACTCAATAATTTTACTGACTGAGGTAATGTACCTCTGATAATAAAACGTAATGATTCTTAAATTTCATTATCAATAAATAAAAATTATAACAAACGCCATGTATCGGCATAGAAGTTCACGGAATTATAAAAATAAAAACTAATAATGTTTTAAATGTTTCTATTCATTTCTATGAGGAATTGCAAAAAAAAAAAAAAAAAAAAACTGTTTGGGGCAATCTACTGCAATTCTACATACAATATCTTACTCCACACTGACCTTACATTTACGGTCATCAAGGATCATAAATGAACACGTAGGTGAATAGCTTAATCTGGGGAAAAAAATGCAATAAATACTTATATTAAGCTTACGAATGCAGGAGCTCATGCACTGGGCTATAATGCTTACATATCTAATACAGTTGCATTACTTACACAGCCGAAACATAAAAATCCGTAATAAACAGTAACCCATCTCCTTTTGGAGACGCGAACATAAGAGACCACTGGAATTACTGTGCAGCATCCAAAAGTGACAAGATAACAAAGGAGACAGTACGCTGCATATGGTGAGCCGTACAATTTTCTGCTCGTGATTTAGATTAGAAAAAAATTTCTAATTAAGTGCGCTTGTGAATTACTGAAAAAGTCAAATGTCATTCAATACTTTTTACTTTAGTTTCATAGCGACACGGAAATATTCGCTTTGCCTTAAAACCATTTTATCACAGGCCAGATTTGGTCCACTGTCATGGATGACGCTCTAATATTTATTTTTTATTTATTTAGTGTTCTGTCTGACGAGAGGTCCATATGAACAGGATCCTTCCATCCTTTTCTCGGAGTGGGACCTGTTCATATACGTTCTTGGCAGATGATCCAGAAGTGGTTTGCCATTGCCTTCTTCTGTGTGTGAATGGAGTAATTGTTGGGATGCCACGGAGGAAACCTCCATGTTGCCTAGACCACGGCCTTGCCCAACACAAGTTATAAATTCGGGCACCGCCGGGAATCGAACCCGAGACCCCAGGATTACAAGGCCAGCGTTCTAACCGCTAGACCACCGTGGTATCAGACAATAACGTTACAAAAACAGGCCGACGTCTGGAATCATCATCACTTGACACAGTCATTTATGAAGAGAAGTGCAATGAGCGAGTAGAAAAAAAGCTACATTTGCTATTAATAATTAAATGACAAACAAACTAGGCAACATTTTGTGATCACAAATTTATTTACGAAGGTCACACAAATCACAAGCCAAACTGCTCAAAACTCCTACTGGGATTCAAGCGGCTTGACCAAACAATACAGTCAGTGTCCTGAAGTCCATGTGCCATCATCACACAAAGAAGGGAATGAAATATACCCACCAGAGTCATGGCGTTCGCGGTCTGGGCTCTTTGCCATGACGGAAGTTCTCTTTGAAGGCATGGGCAACGAGGGTTTCGGCCGGTTTTGCATCGCCGCCAGTGCCTGCTGCACTGCCTCCTGGCGCACTTCTGCTCATGCGCACACCCACACCAGACCAGCCATCACCACAATCAAACAAAGAGAAGAAACAAGCCGGCCAATTAGAACGAACTCAGCGCTCATCGAGCAAAAACTTAAAAACAAGCAAAAATTCGGCATCTCATTCATGTTACGCTTGAAGTCACAGAATCTGTATTGTGTCATGACACTTCTTTTGGGTAGCAAATGAGTGCGGTTACTGTGACTGTCAGTAATTCTTTAAATTTCTTAGATAGGAAGGACATGGAATAATTTAGTTCCTGAGATGCCTTATTCTGTGACTTCATTATCATCCATAACCTTTCAACAACAAAAAAGGAAAAGCCTGCAGTTTTTTTTACATCTGACTGGAGAGCTGTGATTCAGGTATGTCCCTGTGTATTTGTGTTTGTGACGATTATCTAAACATTTAGACAATGGAAGCATAAAAAAGTATGGGTACTTGTAGGTTATCGGGACACAAAACGGGAGAGTCGAATATCTGGACTTTGATTGGACGGAAAACTGCGCATGCTCTGTTGTTGTTATCTGTTAGTTAGTTCAGTTATTTATTGCTGTTCGGTACCATGTTAAAAATTTGGGAAGCATATCCAAATAAAATATAATACTTTGTCATTTATTGAAATAAAATATAATAACTTTCAAGTATATGTAATTTATTCACACACATTAACCTAACCTAAGCTAACCTAACATAACCTAAGCTAACCTAACCTAACCTAAGCTAACCTATTTTTAAAGCGATGTGTCCCGATAACCCACAAGTACCAAAGTATGCTACAGCCTATGATATGCAAATATTTTCCAGAGCAGTTAACAATTTATGAGACTTGAGAACGATGAATATGTTCTTCTGGGTTGTGACACCACATATACTGATAGGTAGACGACAACATTTTGGAGAGATATACAGACCCTACTTTCAGCCTGAAGTTAGAGATGGCATGTTTCTCCGATACATTAGTATCTGCGTACGAATCTATGCGTCATCACAACCCACAAGAATAACATCACCATTCTTAGTGCCGTGAGAACCTCAATCTCATATGTGAGCTTTGAGGTTAGGGCAACACATGCCTCTGAAACATAAATAAAGATCCCTCATGGCTACACAGCCACAAATAATCGAGATGACCTCACGTGTAATTTATATTCAATCGAAGCAAACAAATAATGTTTCACAATCATATAAAGCAGCTCGTAAAACGCTTGCATTCTTCACTGAAAGCATTTATGTAACGCTGATTTAAGAAATCTATGTAGCATTGCTGATACTAATTACTATACTTTTTTATGTTCTGATTAATGTATGAGAACATTCTTTATATAAGCAACCAAAAATCTCGGAAAAATATTCCACGTATTTTATGATTTACTTGTGAAATTCATGCCTCTTCTCCTGTAAAATATACGTATTGGCAGAACACAGGTGCACAGAAAATCCAGGGACAACATGAATCATGTCTCTTGAGTTTAAAATTAATATTTAAAGCCAACATAACAGAATAATTTAGCAGCTTGACAACCATAAAATCGAACACTCATTTATCAATATAAATCAAAATATTTATGCATACATCACCAATATCCAAAAGGCTGATAACAGTGCCATAAAATACGAAGTAACCAATTCAACTACCAATATACACACAAAAAGATAAAAAATACTATTATGCTAATAGACACAAGCAAGAACAAAGAATTAGAATAAAGTTAGACACACAGCTTTATCATTCAAGGAGGAATATTAAAATTTAAAATTAGATTGAATGGGTGTTATTTTACATTGGTTGATTTCTTAATTAATTCCTGATGACTGATAACAGCTGCTGTTAAGAAATCTCACCTGACTGAAGCAAATGGCAAGATAAATGCCATTATGTCATGATGTAACGAATCGCTAATGTAACACTACAATATCACAACACAAAATACGTAACACACGACATGCAACTCACCTCAATGATGTCAAAGTCACGACTAGCTTTAAATAAATCAGAAACAATATATAGTAAATAAAATTCTTCCCACTCATCACTTAATGAATATTAAACTACATGTTTTTGTAATTAACTAAATGAGTAATATGACAGATTAGTCTGAATATTGCTTCATGTTCCATCAGCACACAAACAAACATTACCAAAAATTCCACCGAACAAAAACCAACTAAACCTAAGCTAACCTAACCTAACCCAACCTAACCTAAGCTAACGTAACCTAACCTAACCTAACCTAAGCTAACGTAACCTAAC